ACATAACTGCTTCTCTGTGAGCCCATTGAGAGAAAGTGAGCAAACCCAAGCTCTCTGGTTTATTTTTTTATAAGGACACTAATCTCATCATGGGTACTCTGTCCTCATTATCTTATCTAACCCTAATTTCCTCCCAAAGGCCAGTTCTGGATACTATCACATTGGGAATTAAGGCTTCAACATATGAATTTGCAGGGGAATACAAACATTCCATAGCAATTGTCATTCCGTAATAATTGGTATTTATTTTCCCTTGAGTTTTTAAAAATGGAACCTTAGTTTCTGAGTATATTTTTAGTTCCTTGCTGTGGTTCTTTCTCTCTCTATTCCTATACTATTATTGTTGTGTTGACCAGGGATTGGCAGAGCTCTCTGTAAAGGGCTGTGAGACCACTATTACAAAGATGAGTTCTGCTATTGAAGCACAAAGGTAGCCATAGACAATATGTAAACTTTTGGATGTTGCTGTGTCCCATTAAATCTCCAGGTACATAGAAAAGCAGTCGGCCACAGTTGTTGTCATAGTATACCAATTCTTGGTATAAACCTTTGTGTTTCAAAGTGGAATCCACAGACAGATAACATCCTTATCACCTGGTAGCTTACTAGAAACACAGTGTCTCAGGCCTTTTCCCAGACTTACAGAACCAGAACCTGCATTTAGCAAGACCACATTATGATCCCCAGGCACATTAATGTTTGTAGAGCACAGGTCTAGGCATATTATTTATAAACTTTTTTTTACTATGTTGTTCATTCATAGATATTTTTTCAATTTCTTAATTCATTTTTCTTCATTTAAAAATGTCCATTGTATCTAATCCATTTCTTTCTGTTGTACTTCTATTTTCTATTAGAAGGTATTTGGTTTTTATATTTTTCTTTTTCTGATTTTTTTCTTTTTTATTTTTTTGAGAAGGAGTTTCACTTTTTCACCCAGGCTGAAGTGCAGTGGCATGATCTCGGCTCACTGCAACCTCTGCCTCCTGGGTTCAAGCAATTATCCTGCCTTAGTCTCTCAGGTAGCTAGGATTACAGGTGCCCACCACCATGCCCCACTGATTTATATATTTTTGGTAGAGACAGAGTTTCACTATGTTGGCCAGGCTGATCTTGAACTCTTGACCTCAGGTGATCTGCCTGCCTTGGCCTTCCAAACTGCTGGGATCACCTGGCTATTTTCTTTCCTTAAAATAAATTTAAATATGTTTTGACTGTAACGTTGTTTTGTTACCCATGCTTAAACAAGATGGGTTTTCCTGAACTACCAGGAAAACACTGAGGAGAGGTTAGGCAGGAATGGGACAGAGCTCTTTTTCGGCTTTACAACTCCAGGGCTTCCTCCTCCATTGTTACTATGAGGTGCTCAGATATATGCACCCTTTTCTTGTGGCCACATCTGTATCTGCCAGGGCTAAGCCTGTTTTGGAGTTCACTTGCCTGTAACTTTGCATTGTCCAGCTCCTCACACACCTTGCTTTTCAAGCTGGTGGCACTGGCTGTAAGTTCTCTGTTTTGCAAAGTTAATGCTTTCAGAGATCTCTCTCTTCTGAAGCCAGTGTCTGAATAATGTCTCTCTTCTGTACCCACAGTATCTCTGACCTCAGCTCCTGGCAGTATATCTTCAGAGTGTATTGTACACTATTTCTGGAACCCCCAAGAGCTTAAGTCCTAGTACTGTTTGATCTTTTCACAGCCCTTTTAAGGTTTTTTGTGCCTTTACACACAGTGGGAGCCTCTGGCATCTTCTCCCAATTTAGTATGTCATTCACACAATCGCTTGTCTGTGTTCCTAATTGTAGAGGAGACGTCACATCCTGGGTTCTGTAGATTTTGAGGTTAGTTAGCACTTGCTTATTGCTCTTCTTTCTGCTTCCCTACACATCTTCTGGTCTTGGGTAAGACTTCCTGCTAGCATGTCTGGTTTGAACTACCATATACAGGGTACCGTATGATTTCTTATTACTAAGTTTTATACAGTTATTATATGTGGGTTTTCATTTTCTACCTTACTTGTGAATATATATATGCATACATATAAAATGGATTAGTCTCTAAGTTCTAACCATGGGGCTGAATACTTCTGTCATGTTGCATTTAGGGAGAATCTGTGGCTCATATGTTATCTTTTTATAGGACCTGCCCCAGAAAGTCTTCACTTTTCTTCTGGGCACACAGGTGGCTGTGCTTAACCTCACTTCCACTAAACCTCGTGTTGTGTGTGAGTGGAAATGACATGATCATAGCTGCCTCAAGGCCTGTAAGAAGTAGCTGTTTATTCTCCATGCTCTTTTCCTGATGACCTGCTGAATGCAGATTTAAAAGTTCCCTCAGGGAGTCATGGAATCACAAGATGATTAAGACCTCAATCCCAGAATCACAGGTATGCAGGAAAATACCTGGACAGCGGCAACATCCACCTCGGACTTTCTTGTGTCCGAGAAACAAGAATCACTTATTTATAAATCATCTGATATTTTAATCAAACAGTTAGACATTTGGGGATCTATTTGATCCAGCTGACATTATATTAATTATATATAATGCTTGCAGGCTTTGGGAACTCCCTTACCTGACATGCCTTATTTATACTCAGAAAACACAGACTATATTTAATGGGAACATAATTTAAGCATAATTAAGATCCTGTGTTCAGCAGTAAAAATCAGGAAAAAAAAACTAGCAAAAAATAAATCAAACTTTTAAATAGATTAAGCAATGACAGCTTTAAAATTATTCCATGTTTGGAATATTCCAACTCATTAGTGGGTAGTCAGAAAGTATGTTAATTAGTTGAGACCTAGTAGAAAACGGTTTTGTTGACACTGGTTTGCATTTCTCCGAGGATTGTTAAATCCCATGCTAGTCATTCCAGGGAAAAAATCAGGACACTAAGGGAAACATCAGAGTTCCAACAAGTATTATTTAATTTTAAACATTTCTCAATTTTCAAGTTATAATAGGATTTCTTAGTGGCCAGGCTGGTGGGAGGCTAAGAGAAGAAAAGAGCACACAACCTTTAAGGGTTTGCCCTTATGCACTTAATATCAGTGCATTGCTCAAGTTTCCAAGCAAAACTGAGGAAGCTTCTCCACCACCCTCAGAATGCTGGTTTTATCTTTTCCTTTCTTTCATGCAAGACTTTTCTGGGGTTCTCATCTCTCAACTTAAAAATTAACTGCAGTTATGTTCTAGGTTTTGCTTAGCTGTTGAATGGTCTTTCTCTTGTTTCTATCAAGTTGCCTTTACATTTAATCTTCCTGGGCTCTGCTGGTTTCTTGAACAAAGACCATTTCTCCAGATGTCTCACCTGAGCTTCTGTTGAGCCCAGGTCAAGCCTCGGAGCCAGAGTGAACAATGCAGGCAAAGCTGGCTTCGAGGCTTTGGATGTGCTGTCTTCCTCTGCATAGTCTACAAGGGAGACTGCATAGTCCAAGACCACTGAGACCATCTGCATCACAGCTCTGGAGTCTAAGGACTCATTCAGCTCCAGGATGTTCCCTGGAGCTTCTGCTTTCATCAGAAATTTTTCTTTTTGAACATATCATGATTACTGAACCTGAGTGGTCCTGACCTTCCCATTCTCTTGTCTTTTACAGGATCATGAGAATAGACTGCTGGAAAGAATCGAAAGGCTTTCTTTTTCGAAACTGTGCATGTGTGTGAGTCCTAGACAGACTCAGCCTAACTAAAAGTCTCCCTTTTCCTTCTAAAAAAATTCTTAACAGTCATATATATATATATATATATATATATATACACACACATATGTGTGTATATGTATATGTGTGTGTGTGTGTGTGTGTGTGTGTGTATATATATATATATATATAAAACAATAGCATTATTGTCAGTTACCCTGCCCAGGGTAGTAGTATTAGTATTAGTAGTAACAATTATAAGAGTAACTATCCTGGGCAACAAGGTGAAGCCCTGTCTCTACTAAAATATAAAACATTAGCTGGGCATGGTTGCGAGCACCTGTAGTCCCAGCTACTTGGGAGGCTGAGGCAGGAGAATCGCTCAAACTGGGGAGGTGGAAGTTGCAGTGAACTGAAATTGTACCACTGCACTCCAGTCTGGACAACAGAGCAAGACTCTGTCTCGAAAAAACAAAACAAAACAAAACAAAAAACTATCAATAACATTTGCCATGTGGTGATGTGCCCCACTCAGTCAGAGATAAGTTCTTCACATACAACAAATTTTGCTTTTGAATCCAAAACAAAGTAAATGCTCTCAAATTTAAACAATATGAATTATTTTACTCTAAGTTTGGTCAAAACTGAACAAGAGAGGCATTCGTCATCAGCCTGTCTATGTTATAAAAATGTAGTCAGTTTCTGGCAGGAAGTGAGGAGTGTGGGAGGATTAACTCTGACTTGGTCCAAATGGAAATATTTCTGATAATATTTTCAGCTTAGGAAGAGATGTAAGAGATTTCCTAGTGTCTGATTTTTTTCAAACCTAATGTATGGTCAATACTCTCACAATTCCCTAATTAACTTCGCAAAGGCTTGTATTATGTGAGTAGACCAACAGATGTTTCTCAGAAGGGGCACCTTTCTCCTGTGTCCTTACAAAGGTGCATGTTCTGTGTGCCTAAGTGAGGACAGGTTATAGTGAGATGCTCGTTGCTTGTTACCAGCAGCCAATTTCAGGAACTGGAAAACACTGAAAACTCTCTAAGAGTTCCCATTATGCCCACCCTTCCACAGAAGGTGCTACCCGACACAAGACAGATCTGCTTTTCCCAGAATGCCTCCTCTGTTCCCCTCTCAGTGCCTCAATGTGAATCTCACAGGAGGGGAGTTTCCAAGGACCACACCAGTAATTGTTCTGTAGATCTTTCACTGTGAGTAAGCTTCAGTCAACAGTTGCCTCATGGCTTTTAATTAGGGTGAAATTGAATGCAGCCCTAACCCCAGAACTTCCCACAACTTCTCCATAATAGAGGAAAAAACTGAATGGTGCACAGGACCGCTCAGTCCCACACATACCTGGGTTTTCTCAAGCAGCTTCCAGTGTTCATCAGCCCTTGGGACCTTGCGGTTTGCCCATCCCTTCTGCTTCCATCTGGGTGATGTCATCCTGCAGTCCCCGCAGCTCTGAGCCGGCCTGGATGATGCTATTATTAGTGAGCCGGAGCTCAAGGCCAACTGGCTTGTCTGTTGGCCTCTCACTGTCGTGAATAGGCTTAATTGCTCATGCCCTTTCAGTAGGGTTTCTGAATAGACATTTTTGTTAACTTAGCATTCTTCCCAGCTGTCTTGAAGCAAGAAGTGAGGGTGAAGACAGTGGGAAGGGAAATTTCAATCTCCTCTCCTTAGACATAGGTAAAAGAGCAAGGTGTGCATGGAGAGGGAGAGCCTCTTACCGGCCACACTTCATAGCGCTGTTTGGCCATCTCTGGGCTGAGAAGCCCTTTTGAGCCCACAGCCCAGGAAGCCTGATTTGTCTGAACAGAGGTGACATTGTACCTGAGGTCACCCTGGCCAGGCAGCACCATGAGAGGAGGCGCTGGGCAGCTTCCTTCCTGGCCACCTTGACTTCAGGGCCACACAGTCTCACACTTTAACTCTCTCTCTGTGTCTCTCTTCCTCTAGCCAACTAATAGAGGAAGAGAGGATTACACATTCTTGGGAAACTTGGCAGATGTTCTTGATTTTCTGTGTCTGTACATTTATATGATGAATTAAGAGCTGTCTCTTATCTGGTCAGTTCTGAACCTACCAAATAGGCAGTGATACGGACAGGAAGCAGGAAGATACTGGGTAGAAGAAGGCAGCACCTTCAAGCCTGGAAACCTGCAGCCCTACATGGGAACAGGCATTTCTACTTTCACACCCAATTTTTGCCTTTTGGCCTGCCACAGCCCCCTATCCTGTACCCATATAAACTCCAAACCCCAGGCTCCACAAGCAGAAGAACAGAGGAGCAGAAGAGTGGCATAATTGCAGAATGGTGCAGCAGAGGAGAGAAAAGAAGTATCTGGACATCAACGGGAGCTTGGCTGGTGATGTTTGAAAAGGTCGACCACAGGACAGTCAAACTTCAGGGGAAGATCATCTTCCCACTCCATCCCCTCTCCAGCTCCCTATCCATCCCACCGAAAGCCACCTCTACCACTTAACAAAACATCTGCATTCATCAATTTTTAAGTCTGTATGTTACCTGATTCTTCCTTAATGCCTGAAAACGACCTGGGTACCAAGAGGGCACTGAGCTGGTTAACACTTAAGCTGTCTGCAGACAGCAGAGCTAAAAGAGTACTGTAACATGCCCACTGGGGCTTTGGGAGTTACAGGCCCCACCCTTAGATGCTACCATGGAGACAGAACCCAAAAAGCGCTGCCCTGGTTCCTGCACCTGCCAGTCTGTGTGCTCCCCATCCTGTAAGGGGTTTGAGAACAAAGCAACAGCTGAACAGACAAACCACATCCCTGTCACACATCCCGCAAGTGGGTTGGGGAACTCTCTCATTTCAGCAGGAAGAGTCTCCAGGGCCACTGTTGGGTATGAGGTTTGCAAAAGTCTATTTAAAAGCCATTATCCAGTAATCCTCGGAGAAAAGGTATGTTGTACTTCTCTCTTGAACTTCACTGGCTCTGATGTGGGTTTTTGAAATTCAAACCCTTTCTCTAGTGATAGAGCTATCCTGAGCTACTCCTGCTCAGGCTCCCTTTGCCTGCAAGCAGGCAAGGAGCTCCTGAGGCCTGGGACACTCAGAGTGAATACAGCTCCCTCCAGTTAAGGACAGCTTGTAGTGCAACTTTAAGAAATATGTAGCTCACGGGGATGCATTTTAATTGAAAAAACATATTTTTCCCCCCAAAGAGACCTGAGAAAGCTATTTTCCTTAAGCACATCAAATAAGACTAACATCTCTTCTTGACACAGCAAAATGACAATTTATACATTTTAGGAGCATCATCATGCACAAGAGAAGCCATGAGTTGCAGCAGAGGCAGGAAAAGAATAAATTCATTCAGGTCAGAAGGCATCGAAAACTGAACATGGAAATCAAAGTCTCTTAGCCTGCATCTCTGAACCCAGCAGCAAGTGCAAAAAGAGAGTGGGTAAAAGCAGACCTGGGGTTTCAAAGTTAGTTAATATTATGCATAATATAGGCATACCTGCTCTATGATTTCTAGGCCGAACACTTGCAATGTAAATGTCTTCTACGCGTTTGGATGGATAAGGAGAAAAGAGACACAGGGAAATAGAAGAGTGGAGGGGAGAGGGGATGAGAGAGGCAAAGGGGAAAGTAGAGAAGGGAAGGGAGAAGGGGAGACTTAGGGTTCTCCTCATTTCACCTAATTCTGGGAAGGCTGGAAATACGAGCTTCACTCTTCTGGGAAGAAGAATGACTTCTTACCTTCTTCATCCCCAGGGTTCTTTCCTTCGGTGTGGCAACTGAAGAATGAGGATGACAGGCTCATAAATGTGGAGAGGAGAGCTTTGTTTCTCTTAAAGTGTTTCAGCCTGGAGGGTGGCCATTCTGACAGGCTGGGAGAGTAGTCTCTGGCCAGAAGTGGCAAAGGGAACAGAAATTAATGCTGAATAGGGTGATCAAATATACATATTTAATAAGTTATAGAAGAAGTCATGAATTTCTTTTTTAACATTTAGGTTCAGGGTTACATGGGCAGGTTTGTTGTGTAGGTTAATTGCATGTAATGGGGGTTTGGTGTATCGAATATTTTCTTACCCAGGTAATAATCATAGTACTCAATAGGTAGTTTTTGAATCCTCTGCTTCCTCCCTCCCTTCACCCTCAAGTATGCCACTGTGTCTCCTCCCTTTGTGTTCATGCATATTCAAAGTTTGTTTCCTACTTATAAGTGAGAACATGTGGTATTTAGTTTTCTTGTTCATGTGTTAGTTTGCTTAGGATAATGGCCTCCAGCTCTGTCCATGTCTCTGAAAAAGACATGATCTCATGTACACAGTGGAATACTATGCAGCCAAAAAAAGAGTCATGAATATTCTTGAGAACATGCAGGCAGTTGTGTTTTTGTACCTCTTCACAGACAGATTTCATGTACTAAAAATGGAAAGTATGAGAGTGAAATTTTTGGCCCTCTGACATCAAAAGGTGAAGCAGAGCATGCAAAAACTCTCACTGTGCATCCTCTGTGGTTTGCCAGAATCACTCCATGGCTCATGGTCTCTAATCAGATAAAGAAGAGGGGCAGCATCAGGAGATTGGATGACATCAGTGATGGAGTCTTATTAAAAGGCTGGCTTCTGTCTTGCCCTTAGGGAAGAAGAGCTAATGGCGGTTAGTGAGGGAGGAAGTATGAGGAGGCCTGTCTGACCTCAGTTCATGGAGGATAACTCAGTTTTCAAGGTTACTCTGGGGTCCTCTTGGCCAAAAGATGGTCTGTTCCATTGGTTAGGAGGTTTAGAATTAATTTTACTTCTCAAGTTTTATCCTCAAGCTACTTGGAGAGGTTCACCATTCCCCCAGCCCACCATGGCATTTATAGGTGGTCCTGGTGCTTTGCTTTGCCCAGGCTTTCACCTCGCCCAGGGACCTGCTGGCCAGCATGCCCTTTGAGCTCCTTTGATTCCTCTGCCCCGTTTTCTGCACTTCCAGTCTAGGGTTACAGATTGCATTTTTTTCTTATTTTTTTTTCTTCATTAATCTTTGACTTGAAACACATGCTTTTTGTTTTTAAATCTTTTTTAACAGTGAACGTCTGGCACAATGCTCAAAAATCATCACTGGATATTGAACTAAATCTTTACCTGACACCTTGTGTTTCAATTATCTATTGACTTTCTCTTCTTCTCCACTTCCTGAGCACAATTTGAGAACAGTGACTAGGGTATGTTATTAACCTGAGTGGGTGCAGTTCCTAGCACAGTTCCTGGAAGTTAGAAACTGACCAACATGTGTTGTTGTATAAGAGATGGAGGGTTTTACTGGATGTTCTTGATCCTGAAGTGCACATTGGCTTATATTTTAATATAGCTGATATAAAGGTGTGCTTTACAATTGATGTATGTCTTTTTCATCATTTTTTTTTTGAAAAAGCTATTAATGCACTGGTGACTCTTTAAAATCAAATTATTACAATAATAATTGTATAGGCTCAGGCTTATCTGAAACAATTTGAATGTCTTATAAATTATGAAAATGTCCCAGAACATTTGCACTGGTCTGAATACATAACAGAATAATATTAATGATCATGGAATTGTTATCTTTTCTGATTTTTTAGAAAAAGTATCAGAACTCACTTCCACCTGGGACAAAATTCTACAATAATTTGGCGCTTATCTAACTAACATAACTGAGTATTTTGTTGATATGAATAATGGAATGAATAACATAACTGATGAAGCACTTACTGTTTTGTTATTGCTTAATTGAATGAAGAGGCTTGCTAATTGTTTTCAAATTGAGTGTGGACACTGAATCGCCACAGAGTTTGCAATTTATAATGGTAAGTGCCCTGAGGTAAGTATCCTGCCTGCTGGTGGGTTTGGCATCTGACAAAAAGTGATGATGAAATTGGGAATAATGGGTAGCTGTGAGTTGGAAGACATTGTTGTGTATTTGGAAATAATGAGAAGCCAAACCCGAGGAATTTTCTGCAGAATGGTGAGGGACACTCAAGGGAGAAGAAGAATAAATGTTCTGGGTTGCATCGGAGTGGTTTTCAGGGTGTGGGATGGAAATGAAACACGGGAAACTATGCAACGAAAAAAAAAATCAAAACTGGAAGAGGAAGGGAAACACAATAACTGCATGAGTAGAACTTGAAATTAGTTCCAATACCCATTCAAAAAGAAATGATTCACATCAAGTTTTCTTGGGGAAAAATAAGGACAACAAAATAACACAGGAGCTATTGTTTACTAAGCTGCTAAGGTTATGGAGTAGGGAAGTAATGCATAAAAATTCACAATTGAAGAAAAATTAAACTAGAGCTAACCTAGGCTCCTTGAAAAAAACTGTCTGCCATAGTGCTGAGGGGTGTGACCTACAAAGGACAGAAGACCTGACACTAATAAATCAGAGTTTGCCAGAAACACAAACCCAGGAGAGATATTGAAAACTGGAAAAGTAGTGAAGTTTCTAATTTCTTTTTATATACTATGTCTTCTCTTACAGAGGTGTCATACGTTTAT